AGAACAGGGCCTTGGTGTGTTCTATTCTAAACATATGGGTGGTTGTCAAAATTGTGTATTTTTTGGATCCTCATTATAATACGGCACCTAATATTTAGGGGTACCAAAACAGGACCCTTATTTTGGGAACTCTCCATATAAAGATTATAAAAGGATAATGAAGGCTTCTACTGTACTCCCGCATAAGCATTCCCAAATGGCCCATGAAACACACCTGCATGGAGCTTCTCAAAGATTAGCCGGAAGAATTAGGCTGGGGTTTGAGGGCGAATATCTACTTGGCGCTTAATAGGGAATGAAGGAACAGACCCCCATAGCAGTTCCCCCAAACCCTAAACTCTAAACCCTCAACCCTTTCTAATGGTCATTAGAACTCACTCCCCCAAAGCCCGCTAGCATCAGGGAGATCTTCGGCCCATGGCTGCATCAGCATGCCTTGTTCAGAGCAACAGCATGTGTGTGCAAAGATGGGACATCAAGGAGGGATGGCTGATGCACCAAGTGCTGTCTATGAGGCTTGAAGCATAAGATTAGTGGTACTACTTGGAGGGTAAAGGGGATTTGGTAAGTAGCTTAACCGTGGGGATAGCCAGGCTATTACGTCATTCAAAGGGGTTATAGATATTCTTGCTAAGTCCCCTGGACTCTCCAAGTATGGTATACTTAAGATCATGTAGGGCTTTGTGCAATAGCAGGAGGGGCATGGAAGGAAGCGGCACTTCATTGATTTAGGCGTATTGAAGCTGTGTCTTTGCATGGTCTTGTCGATACTGCATGATTTATCAGCCCAAATGCTAGCTGTACGACGTAATGACAACAGTCAGAAGAACCGTAGGAACAATTACCTTAACGTTGGGAACCGCAACTCCCCCACCCTGCGGCCGAAGGAGTTGAATTTTGGGGTTGCGGCCGCCCAAAAAAAGCTTCCAACCCGAAATCCTACATGCTAAACCTTAACCATTACCTGTAACCCCATTTGCCTAGAGTTTTGTTTATACCAATTAATTACGAGGTAGTTGCCATTAATCTGTAGGAAATGAATTGTGGTTGCGGGTAAACCTGACCTCTGGAACTCAAGAAACCCTACAGGCTGGAAAGCCAAGACCCTCAAATCCCGAACCCCTAGAGCGCTAAACCCCCCGAACCCTACCCTAAACCCCTAGAACCCGAACCATAACCACTAAACCTCATGAAGCCCGAAACCCTCTACCTGAACCACTCTAAACCCGAAATCCTCGAATACAAATGAGATATGAGCTCTAGTCTAGACTCCTTAAAGGGGGTTATGTAAGGGATTACATGGGGGACTGGTATAGGGCTGGGGTTACTAGGAGGGACACTAGGACTTTAGACCCTGAACCCTACACGCTAAACCCTAAACCCTGTAATGTGGCTTATCAAGGGGGATGCTAGGACTTCCAACCCTAAACTCCCTAAATGCTATAATATGGGTTAGTAAGGGAGATACTTGGACTTTATAGACTATAGCTCATATCAGGTCCCGGCCAGCCAGCCCCGCAGCGGAAGAACATGCGTAGCCCCTTGACGACGCTCGGCGGCCTAGGTTGAAGGACATAAGGAGTTTAGGGTTTAGGGCTTGGGGTGTAGAGGGATACATAGGGTTATAGGGGGGGACATAGGGGATATGTAAAAAGCCATAATGGAGAAGAACATGGCAAACAACATGGACATTCGGCTTATTTATCATGGTTTCCCCTACTACCCGGCTCTATACTCCCCCCCTAGGTTTCCCCCTTAATTAACCTGAATCAAGCCTAATTGTCCTCAAATATCTTCAATTAAGGGGGGATCTAGAGAGGGTAGTACAGAGGGGGGTAGTAGGGGAACCCATGAATTTAGGGGCGCATATTCGGTAGTAGGAGGATTTCGGGAGCCAAGCCTGGAGCTATAAAATCCAGACCAGAAACCCTTGGTTCCCGGGCAATTTGAAGCGACCTCACTCGACCTCACTCTAAATGGTGGGTGATAGAGGCAAGAGTACCAGAATGGCCTTAAATTGGGAAGTGGAATTATTCTAAATTACCCTGTAAGCCCTAAACCCCAAATTACAAATCCGACACCCTAAACCTTAAACACTAAGTGCCCTACACCCTGAACTCTAAGTCCTCCCACATACCCCAAAATAGAGGTTCCCTGATTGTCATATGCTCTTATCGGGTCTATCTTGCAGGGGTTGGGGTTACCAAAACCCTGCCCACACCGCTTTCTTCCAGGCAGTCGGCTTAGGTTTTAGGTTTGGGATTTGGGATTTGATTGTATGGCAAAGGATGGCGGCAACAGTAATAAATAATCATGGTAGCACTCATCATATTAGTAGTCATAGCAATAGTTGTCATAGTAATAGTCACAGCAATAACAATACTAACGTAATCATGACAGCAATAAAGACAGTAACACGAACAGTAATGAAAACAGTAGTAAGATAAGAATTCTCGCATGAACTCCCGCATTGGCTTGAGCTAGGCTCGCAGGAAGCCCTGAGCTGAAGATTTATTCCGAGCATAAGTTCTGCAGAGTGGTACCATGATGCCACGCTTCGTCTTGATTTACAGCCTAAATCCAAGACCCGCAGGCCTCAATTTGATGTGCAAACTTCTTTATGATGAGGTCTGGTGTCTCTTCCAGCTCACCAACGATCCGCTGAGAGAGGCTCAGGCGTCGGAAGAAATTAGACGCTGCACAGCATGCATATGTTTCCACCGCTGGTTTGGAGCAATGGGCTAGAAGAGGGCCCTTGCAACTCTGTCGAAGATTTTTGGTGATTTGCCTTCATTCCAGGTAGTCTGACCATGTGGTAAGCATGCATCATCGAGCCTTTTCATCCAGCCTTCTCCTGTTGCAGCCAAGTGTGCTGGCAGCAGTAAGACTTCCGCGAGGGCAACAGATCCTGTGGAAATGCTTTGAATTCACATTTGCACAATGCTTGTGTCAAGGAATGCTGAAGGAGGCAGAGGTTCATCCTCCAGCCAACGATCGGTATATGATGGTATCCCTACAAAGGGGGACCCCAATACACGATAATGCTTATCATAAGAAGCCCTCAAAAGGCTACCCTATCTGGGTTCTTCACAGGGATTTACCAGGTGTCACTTCGGGATAATGCATAATTTCCTTGTTTTTGAATAAGGCCACCTATTGATAATTTTGGCGTCCTTGAAGTACCACCCAGTTTACTATCACTTTCAAGTGGCATTAGAGGGCCAATGGCTGTTCCCCAGGAAGTGATCGATTGGCTGCATGTGCTTGAGTCCGGAGCCACTCAGAGTGGCACCAGTGCTGATGAACACGGGAATGTAAACGCCTGCGCCCTTCAAGGACTACCCCCCAACCCCCAGAAATTGGGGACCCTGGCCCTTTTTCGGGGTGCAAAAGGTGAGGTCGTATACATTCCCATGGACTAAGAAGACTTCAGACTGCATCATGTGGCACCGCCATCCAAAGACAATAAAAAACTCATGCTGGTCGTTCTAACGGGGATGTTCGATTAGAGCAAGACAGCGTCCTGCTTTTGGGGTACAGTTTTTTGCAAGAAGAACGTAACTCTTAGTGGTTCAACCACGACCACACTGGTTCAGATAGGTTTAGGGTGGACACTGCCCCACCCTACGCCCTCAACCTGTAGTCGCAGGTACTGCAGCAAACCAGTCATCCTGTCACATCATTCTAACTACAACAATACAGCCCTAAACCCTGAACCCTGAAGACTTGATGTAAATTCCTTAAGAGCAACCCAGTTTAGGGTTTAGGTGAGAAACATGGTCCGCAGCGCTATGTCCTTGTGAAGGAACTAAACACAAGATTATGCGTATATTCCCCTTGAGTAGATAGAACATGGCTTTTTCTATTTTATAATAACTACCAAAAGCACACGGGAATGCACCAGTGCTCACCTAGGTTGCTGTTAAGGAACTTATATCAGGTCAGTATAATATGTGTATATAGTAAATGATAGGGTTCCCTCCTTATAGTAACTTAATTTAGGTTCTTCAACATCAACCCGGCCGTTGGCTTTCAGAAGCTGACTCTTAGCAGATCTTTTGGGGGTGTCCCCAAATTGAGGGTATCCCCAAATTGAGGGTACCTTCTTGGGGGTCCCCATAAAAGGTGATATAGTATATTGAGGTCTATATTGTGGTCCCTTTGTTTAGGGAAACTAGCTTTTTCCCTAGAATAGACATTGAGGAGCAGACGCAGGGAATGCCATGGGGCTTGTCTCTGAACAGGGTTCAGAAGTCATCCAAGAATATACTGGGTTGCTTTTGAGGAATCTAAATTAAGCTACCATAATGGGTAGAAAAAGTAATAGATACGATTTCCCCAATATAGTAACTTGATTTAAGTTCCTTAACAGCAACCCAGTATGTCGGGACTCTAAACTCCTAGTATCCCCCTTGAAACCCCTATAATACTCTCCTATATTATATAACCCCCTTTTAAGGAGTTTACACTCCTAAACCCTAAACCCTATGCCTTATATAATCCCCTATATAGTCACCCTCAGGGAATTCAGACTATAGCTCATATCGGGATTCTAAACTCCCGGTTCATGCGAAGCCTGGTTGGTTCGTGGCAGTCCTCACGTTGAAAACATGCGGAGGCGCAACAGCCAGGATACATGAGAAGAACAGGAGCATCCCAATACTTGAACACCAATGAAGAGGGAAAAGTAGCACCAACCTGTTTTAGTTTCTGACAGAAAGTTGTCTCAGAGCCGACGCTTGCCAGTTCACTATGCCATTCTTCTTATGCAATGCGCAGCAGGAATAACAAGTCAGCATCAGGTGCAGCAAGCCGCACAGAAGTAGTTAAATCCTCTGGCATGCACTCTAAGACCTCGAGAGCCCAGTGACAGCCTTTGAAAGACGTCAACAGTCCTTGAACCCTGAGTCTACGCTGAAGGCATGTGACCACTTGACACCAACCCAGCCTACACAACAAGTTAGAAGGGTATTTCGTTGGAGCGCTTCCCTGCTGGTCCGATGGAGGTGCGTGAGATAGCTGAGTGACGTGCGCGAGATGGGGGCTGAAATATGTGCACCCCAAGCTAAAAGGGTTTCGAGGTCTAGCGCGGAATGTGAGAATTAGCCCCTTGGACCTTCAATTTTTCTGCTTGCTTCATCATTTCATCATAGCGCAAGAGACCCTAGCATTTGAGCTTGCAAGAGCTACAGTTGTGAGTGTAAGTTGTATCCCTAAACAACCCTAGACGGCGATTCTCACTGTTTTTTTCAAGGTAGTTGAGGTCTCCGGACTCATGGCTCGCTTAAGGGGAAATTCAAAAGGAAACCCAGGCCTACTTCAGTCGAAGTGGGGTTTGGGGTTTAGGGGGGGGTTGTGATAAAGGGTTATTGTAGGGGTTTAAGGTTTGTAGTTTAGGGTTTAGGCTTATACATCATGTCACCAGCGCAGCTTATGTTTGGATAGCTACGTCCAAGTTATCTCAAAGAGTTCTCACCGCAAAAGCTGGAATAGGACAAGTAGATACTCGAAGCCAACCACATAGCAACCCTGGTTATCTCGCTTACTGAGCTGATGGTTGACATCCTTCATCTCCTCAGTAGACCTTGAAAATCCAATTCAATGTGCTCCCCACACCCCTGGGAGGATCTAGAAAGTAGATTCCTCTCCTGCATTCCAGGAGATTACCTAATAACAGAACAGGGCACCGTATTGGGAGTTCTACTGTCTAGGCCCTGCAAATCCTTAACCTTGAAACTTGAAACCCGAACCCTAAAACGGAAGCCCTGATCTTTGAACGCTTAACCTTGAACCCGAAACCCTAAAACCCCTAAACCCTAGACCTGAACTACCTTCTAGGCCCTCCAATGGGCTGGATAGGCCTACGTGGGCGAAGCTGGGAATGTGGTGAAGGCATGGAGTCAGCGTGCTGCCCGGTTCTCAATGAGGCTGCTGAAGGTTTGGGGGTTTACAGGGAACATATTCTGCTTATATTGTATAAGGGATAATTAATATAAGGATACACAGCATTTAGCGTCAAAGATTACCAGAATTATATAGAGTTTAGGGATTAGGGGCGTTACCTCCAAGAATGGAGAATCAAATGGGAAAGGATTCAATAACATGCAGACTGGGGCTATGTAGCGGTTTATGAAGTTTGGGGTTTCAAGGGGTCCCTTGCTTGACTCCTTATAGTAGGGAATATTATATTTTTTAAGGGTGGGTTATATTGGGAACCTAAATTTTGGTCTCCCCATGCAATAGGTTCACAGGGGCCCTTGCATGTTTGCAGATAGCCTTATTGGGCTCAAAAGGTGGGATGAAGGTAGGTGGGTTAAAGGATCCTTAGTATATACCCTACTATACTGGGGCTTATTTCCTATACCCCACCTTCCTTCATCCCACCTTTTGAGCCCCCTGACCCTAAACCCTAAAGCCTGAACCATGTAAACCCAAACCCTAAGCCCCAAAATCCAACAACCCTAAACCCTAAACCCTAAACCCTAAACCCTAATCCCTAGTAGCTTAACCTTGGCAATGAAAGAGCTTGTAGTACTTATCGAGTACACTGAGGCCATCAGGCTTAGAGTCTAGCA